TGCCCCCCAGCCTAATGTTTCTCCCTACAGGACTCCCCTCCCGGCTTCTCCTTCTGGACCTGGCTGGAGGGGATCTTGGAGCTGATCCATAAGTACCTCTCCCTGCTGTGGAAGGATGGGTAGGACTTGTGGGACTGGGAGGCCGGGCTGGGCAGCCCCTGGCTCTGGGGGGCTCATGCCACCCCCCCCTTGGGGCCCCCCCAGGCTGATCTTGGGCTTTGTGAGCAAGAAGCGGGAGCGGCAGCTGCTGCGGCGGCGGCAGACTGGGACCTTCCTGTTGCGCTTCAGCGAGAGCTGCCGTGAGGGCGGCATCACCTTCACCTGGGTGGAGCACGGGAGCAGCGGTGAGCCAGGGACCCAGCGTCTGGGCTCCCTGCCCCACTCCCCACCCTGTGCTTGGCCAAGGAACCCAGGCGTCCAGGCTCCCTGCCTTCCTCCTCCTCCTCCTCCTCCTCCTCCTATGACCACCTCCCCTTGAACACCTGGAAGTAGGACCTAGGTGTCCAGGACCCCACCTTGGGGGTGCCAGTTGTGAATGGCTCTGTTCTCTGGGTTGTGGGGGGGGGTCAGGCCCCCCAGACACCTGGGTTCTCTTCTGCACTGACCCCCGCCCCCTCGCAGACCGCCCCGAGTTCTGCTCCGTGGAGCCCTACACCAAGGTGGAGCTGGAGTCACTGCCGCTGGCCGACATCATTCGTGACTACCACATGCTGGCACACAAGAATGTGCCCGAGAACCCGCTCAAACTGCTGTACCCCTCGCAGCCCCGAGACGAGGCCTTTGGGGCCTATTACAGCAACAGCCGCAAAGGTGAGCCCCCCAAAAAAATCGGGGCCCCTCATCCCTGACCCACAGGCCACCAGGGACACTGGTGCCTCTTGCTCCCCATTGCAGCTTTCCCTGCTCCCTGATGTGTAGCCCCCCCCATTCTACCTGCCGTGGCTCCTTACTCCTTACCCAGACCCCGCCCTTGGACACCGCCACTCATTCCCAACCTGCAGCTGCTGTTGGGACCCCTCACTCATAACCCACAACCCCCTTCCTACTGGGGCCCTTCACTCCTGACCTGCACTACCTTTTCCTGCTAGAGGCCCCCTACCAGCGCTAGGGCTCCTCGCTCCCAACCCCCAGCCCGTCCCCATCCCTGTCCCTGACCCTCTCTCCTGTGCCTTTTTCCCACAGTGGATCTGCTGGCCCAGAGGAAGTATCTGAACCGCCGGCTCATCCCAGTCTCCTCTAGGTGAGGGAGCTAGATGCCAGGATCCCCCAGGCGCCCTGTCCTGTCCTACTGGATGCAGCCTGAGGGCACCCCCTGGTGTTGGGGTTGGAAGCAGGGGGGCTCCAGCCCTGTCTTGGTGTGGGGGGGCCCAGTCATCCACCCCCAGCTCCTTGCACTGACCAGGGGTGTTTTGGTCTCAGGCAGGTGGATGACCCCCCCAGCCAGACAGAGGAGGGGGCAGCCCCAGCCCCGGTAGTGGAGCTGGAGCCCAGGGATGTACTGGGGCCAGAGGACCTGGAGCTCATTGAGGGGTTGAGCCTGGAGCCTGGAGCCATGGAGCAGCTGGAGGAAAGCCTGGTGCTGGAAGGTGAGTCTGCCACAGGGCCCTGGGGGGAGATGGGGTGCTAGTGCCCTCCCCAGCCTCGCAGCCCCCTGACCTGCTGTCTCCCTCAGGCATCCTGCCCGATGTGTTGCAGCGGGGGACTGACCCCTACATGCCGACCCCGGACGATGGGGTCCTGCTGGAACCAGGCAGCCCAGAGTCCCTGTTTGCCGAGGCTGGGGACATCCCCCTTCTACAGGTTGACTCCAGGGACTTCCAGTGATGGCAATTTATTGGGGTGGAAATGGATGGGCCTGGGGGCCCCCATGTCCCTGCCAGGAGCCCCCCCAACTTTCATCCATGCCCCTTGTTTTGGGGGGGCTCCACCCCCTGCCCCAGCCTGCGGGGAGCCCTGTGCCTTATCCAGTTAGGATGTCACTAAATAGAACCCAGGAGTCCAGATGGGAAAGACCCCCCCCCCCCCACCCCCT